CCTAAAACCCTAAAACATTCTTTCAAAGGTTTTCCAACACATTCACATGTCTACACACTCAAAGAGCCACACACACACACACACACACACACACACTGAAACAAACACACAGGGACCGGACCATCTTAATTGTCATTCCATAGACGAGCTGGCCTAGTTTCAAACCCTACACACTGTACAGAACACACACTCAAAACACACTGCAGCAGCTTGTAAAATGAACAAACACATGCTCTTAATCTAAAGTAACGTCGGTATATCTAAATATATAACGCCTTTATCCAGATTCAGTTTTGTCTCTGAAGTAATTTTCTCAGAATTAGGGTTAACAAAAACTTATTTTGAACATAAAAAAGTGTTTAATTTGAGTGGAAATTTAGGCTTGTTCTTGATTAAATGTTTAATTCATTAGGACACACCCCAATATTCACATAATTTTGAATATTCGGTGACATCCTTTGAATTTAATATTTGATAACACTTCATTTTACAGTTTCCTTGTTACAAGTTACATGTACAGTAGTAATGCGCTGGGTGTGTGTTCACAGTGTGTGTGTTCACTACTCACTGCTGTGTGTGTGCACTTGGATGGGTTAAATGCAGAGCACAAATTCCGAGTATGGGACACCATACTTGGCTACATGTCACGTCACGTCACTTTAAATTATGCACAACTACAAGCAACTAACCCAAACCAAACCCTAACCTTAACCCTAAAGTAAGTACATGTTATTAATATTACTCAGTACTCAATTGTATAATTACACTGTAGCAAACACTGTAGCTTAAATAAAGCTTAACTAAAAATCTCATACATATCTCAAAATAGCCAAATATTGTCTGATTCCTCGTTTTGGCCAACATAAATGGGTCTATCACTATACTAAATCGTTGTATTGTTAAATATGTGCTGTAAAGCCAAATTAGTTGTCTTAACTGTCTGATCAAAGTTAAATAACATAATTGTGACGGTGACAGAATAAGAAATGAGCTGAGTGAGATGTTACTCTTTCAACTCTGTGATCTCAAATTACCCTCAAAGAAACACATGCGATCAAGCAAATACACACAAACACATCACCTCTCTATGGCTCCTGCACTGCCCCCTTTACCCACTCCATCTTTTAGTCTGAATAGAAATATAGCATTTTCAGAGAGAAGAGAGAGAGAGAGAGAGAGAGAGAGAGAGAGAGAGAGAGAGAGAGAGAGAGAGAGATGGGGTATTACTGGGCAGGAAAAGTACTAATCCTCTGCCTTGCTTCCTTCCAGCCAATGATACCCAGAAGCAACTGGCAACAGCTGCTCAGAAAGATCCCAAATCACATACACAGTCTAAGTGTATTAACATGAATATGCAAAGTAAACCCATTTATAACTCAAAATTTTAAACAAAAACAGATTCCCCTTAACATGTGACACACTGTTTAGTCTATCACACAGTATAAACGGCTAATAACTGAAAACAAAAGTTTCTTACAGCCTGCTGTCCTTGTGTAACATTATAACAGTTTATAATGCTTGCACGCTGTTAACTATGCCAGCACTTGATCACTTTCAGTTACAAACTGATCTGTGTGCGGTATAAGCTTTGTTACACTGTCATTAATGCATTATTAATGCTTTATAAACTATTTATACGCATCCCAGGAGAGAAAGCAGCCATCATAGAGTACTCTATGTTCCTGAGCAGCCTAATATATAAGATGCTATGCCAAAGCTTAAATCTAACCAAAATCCAGAGGAGCTTGATGGACGAACTGCTGTTTGTGCGACACATCAAGTACTGGTTTGTTGTGGATGTGTGTGTGGGATGCTATGTGTTGGACCAGGAATATTGCCAAGGCAGAGGTTCATTCCATGGGTGGTAAAGGAGAAGTGTACATGACTCTGTGTGTGTTTGTTGGACTTCTTACAGCACATAACTTCTGCCATCTGTTCATGACTGCCAGAAGTGGTATAGGGGAGCTGAGGGAAATCAGCAACACACACACTCAAACCCACGTTGACTTGGCTAAGTGAGGACTTAGCATAGACTTCTATTGTTTTTATATAAAGCTAATTATAATTACTAGAGACTAACTCTAACCCTTAAAGAAAACCTTTTAGAACACCCCAAAGTTTGGGGTCTGTATATATATATATATATATATATATATATATATATATATTTAATGTTTTTGAAATATATATTTTATGCTAACTATGATCTGTATAGTTAAAATATATGCTCTGTATATTAGACGTGAAAAAAATATATATAAGAAAGAGTCTGATGAGAATGGTCATGGAAAAACATTTCAGTACAAACCTGTGATGTCTGTCAGTAATGAAGCAAGTCCTGCTACACTCTGATGCACACACACACCAAGCTGTTTGTTTTACCACTTATGACTCTATGTAAGTATCTAAGTAATGTCCTTCAGGGGAAATGATAATTACATTGAAGACACCCATCCTACAAGTTGACAGGCCAGCAAGTGTGTACGTGCTTCACACGCCTCTGCCTCTGTCTATATGTACAGGTGTGTGCAATACCACGCAGGTATTTGGTATAAGGAAGTCTCTCCGTGTGTGTGAACAGGTGGTTGTAGACGCCATTCGGAGAATGTGTTTCTTTTCTCATTAATAACGCATCTACTGTCCTGCAGTGAGTTTCAAAGAGCATTAATGAGGTGAACAAACCCCAACTAATAACATCAGAACAAAAGAAAAACACTCACACGAATGTGCAAAGGGTCTAAAATTGTACATAATCGTAAGTAGTAAGTAATAAGAAGGAATTGCAATATAATGTCTGTTTAAAACATAATGAACATTTAAGAAATGCCAGTTTTGCATAAACACACACACACACATGTTGTATTGCGTATCAAGACTAAAGAATTAGGACATGATATTCTGCCTTATAAAATGGATAGTTCAACTTTTGATTATCAATTCTAATTGGATGAGCCATGTTATGCCTCATATTGTCATTATACATACAGTACATATATGTATGTATACACACATATACATCATAACAGCCACTTTATATTCAGCTTCATGCTGTGCCTAAGAACACATTTTACTTTTGTTAACTTCACTGTAATGTGCAGCTTCTTGTGGCTTACTGCTTTAATCTGTCTGTCTGAAATTATCAATTTAACTTACTGTCACTGGATACACAGACCTAAAAAGATGAATAGAGGAATAGAAAGAAAGAGAGAGAAAAACAGGGGATTTGGTGGTTGGGATTAGAAGTGAAAAGGAGCTGGGTGGTGAAGTGTTTGCAGGTTCTTGTCTCATAACAATCCCTCTTTGTTTATGCTGTGGTTTTGCTGAAGACTTTCTGCATTCTCTCCTTTGGACCATGTGTGAACATTAACTGTAATTCTATCGCCATCTCCTATATTTTACCTGCTATCAGTATGAGAAATCAGATCCACCAGCAATCAGATGATCTCTCCCAACACACACTCACAGAGCGGAGAAATGGGCCAAGAAAGCATCAAGCTCATTTGTATTTTCTAAGTGACTGTAACATGTTGAGTATAGCCATCTAGAATCCAAACACAACAGAGACTCAGGTGAACTCAGCCAAGAAACCTGTCTTTAACAAACAACTGATAATTATCAACAGCGTGGGCGCTCATCCCTGCCCACATATGCAGAAAATTCAGACACCTATCTGTGTGGAGTGATAAGCTATTTTTCAGTCCACACACACACGCGCGTGCGCGCACGTGCGCACATGCGCTTAGCTGTCATGTAATCTGCTCTGCATGGCCTCATCCGTCAACTGCAGGATAATAAATCAATGGCAAGGACAAAGTGTGTTTACATAATATCAACTACACAAGTGTTCATTGCAACAATACCCATTTTGTGCCACTGTACAAACTACAGGAGCTGCAACTCAAGCTCCTTAAAACACACAATCACTGACAACCTATTCATTTTCAGCAAGTGAGCAACACACAATCCTCTGTTTTTTTGAAAGTGTCCAAAAAATACATTTGAGAAGTGCTTGCATTGAGAAAAGGTGTGCATCACAGAGGTTAGTGAAGCCCAAATCAATTTAGAACTTTAAGTATTTGATGAGGGTTTACAGATTTCAAAAACAGGAGGTGCAAATATTCAGATGAACTAAAATGAATCACTTAGTGTGTGAACAGGGTTCGATTTATTTATTTAAGATAATTGACTGATTCATTAACAAATAAAAAAATGTATATGTAGGCAACAAAATATTTCAGAGCAAATCATAACTACAAAAATGTATATTATCTATAGAAATGACATTTCCAATCATTTCCAATAACTTTATTGTTCTGATTCAGACTAATGAATCAATGAACATAATCTGTTTATTAGAACAAAATATTCGCAAATCAATCTTGGTATATCTACAGTGGGAATAGAAATGAATCACCCCCATTTAAAATAATTAAATTTTGTAATCACAATAATCACAACACAGACCCTCCCTGGATCAGGATGTCGCTCCAAACTGGATGAAAGAGCCATGAGGAAACTGGTCAGAGATGCTTCTAAGAGGCCTACAGTAACTCTGAAGCAGTTACAGGCAAATATTGCAAAGTCTAGACGTGTAAAGTAAGTAGAGACATATCCCAGCTGACTAAAGGCTGTAATTAAAGCAAAAGGTGGTTCAACAAAATACGGACACAAGGGGGTTATCCTTTTTCCAACTCAGTGATTCTGTGTTTTTTTTTCCCTGACATGTTGGTGTTATATATTTCACTTTTGCACTGAGTAAATACAGCTAGAAAAAACAAAAACTGTGTCCATCCTCATTTCTGAATTACAATACTATTTCACAATATTTCTGTTTTTACAGTATTTTTCATCAACTAAATGCAGTCTTGGTGAGCATAAGCCTTCCTTCAAAAACATTAAAAAAATACTTACCCCAAACCTTTGAATGGTTTATGCACGAAATATATATTCAAAGTTTCCATGACTTCCAGGCGTGAAAAATGCATTGTAAAAACTCCCTGATATTTCCAGGTTTTCATGAGCGTGAGACAGAGAAGGTGAGGTGTAATGTCTGACCTGTAGGCTCTGGGGACAGCAGGTGGGCACTGTACACCGGAGGGAAGATGAGGGCCGCGAGGTACAGAAGGAGACAGAGCGGGACCATCCCGGGCCGAGTGACGCGGGGACGAGTGTCCTCACCACGGAGACCAGATTCAGACATCCTCCACCGTTCCACACATGCTGTCAATGTAGTGCTGCCACACACACAAACACTGAAACACAAAAATATATTCAACAGTCATAATAGAGAAGGAACACAGAACACACACTTCATATAACAGCATGAAAAGTAAAAATGCTCACAGATATTCAATAAAACTTAGGCCTGTTGCTTTGTTATTTTGACATGGAACAAATTGTTCAAAACACTATTGAAATGCTGTGCTGACGTGCAAATGTCTGCAGCAGTCTCTCTGCATATATTGTGAATTGAAAAATAAAGTGCGACGACCACAAACAACTGCCACGAGCAAATGAAATGGAGTGATTTCACATTATATGTCCCGCGCTAGTTTAGACGAGACTGGGATTTGTTGTAAACTCTCTTTTGCCATCTTATTCTCCCTTTTTTTTCTTCTCTCTGGTTGGTCTACTCTGAAACACATCTTTCACTAAGCTGACACAAACACACTTATCTCTCTAAAGAAAACATATGCTCCCCTCACACTCTGTGACTTCTGTGTGTGTGTGTGTGTGTCTGCATCTTGCCACATAGAGAGTTTACATTAGTCACAATAAAAGGAATGTAAAGAGCTTTACACACATATACTGTAGGCTGTACGGTTTGATTCCCCACTGAGAGGTTTTTGCTCAAAGACGGTGAGAATTTGAGAGGACTCTGTGTTGCTTTAAACTTGAATTCCTGTTATTTCAGAACAGCCCTGGTTTAGACACACAAAATGTTTGCGTTAACTTTAAACAGTGGCATTCTTCTCAAACAGACGTACACACTCTCCTGAGGCTAGTGTGGCGCTGTTTTACTTTCCCCTTGACGAGCAGACGCTCAATTCTTGGTCAGCACATACTGAAGAGAGAGAAAGAGAGAAGCCGGGTTGGTGTGTTGAGTAACTCAGTGTTTTCTCTGGCCAGCAGAGCAGAAGCGTGCACTGTGCTGTGGGCTGATAGTGTATCAGCGCTGGCTGTTGTAGGAGAGAAGGGTATATTTGTGGAGCATTTTGCTGGATTGGGTATCGTAGGTGTGGTTTTTGAGCATGTTTCTGGAGCCATACTATCTTAGAGTAACAAAGCTTAAAAGCTGGGGAGAGGCCTTAAGCAGAAACAAACTAATACATTCTTGGAAGAGGGCTAATCTCATATTATTATGCATCTTTTTGGAGTACTTGGCTCTGATTGGTTGATCACAACATTGTGTGGTCTAAGACCACTAAACTGTATAATTGACCGTTTGACCAGGCAACGATTTATTTGAGTTCTGCTAGACTAACTGCAGTCTCTTTCTCCTGCATAACTCAAATCAAATTTCCACTCAAATCAAAATTCCATGTCTATTTATTTATTTATTTGGGGAGAAGCAGTGTAATAAATGGGATAATGTGCAGTAAGCCTTCATTATCGCAAAATAAACCACTTTGGAGTGATACAAGACTATCCTGATCACCCTGTTGCGGTTTATTTTGCGATAACGAATGGATGATTGTACAATATCTGTTACTTAAAATAACATTGTGTTGTTTGAACTCTGAACTGTGCCTGCTTGTATCTTATCTATGCATTTATAGTGTCATTTTAACACATATCATTCAAAAGTTTGGGGTCTGAAAGATTAAAAAAAAAAACGTTTTTGAAAGCAGTCTCTTAGGCTCATCCAGGCTGCATTTAGTTGATCAAAAATACAGTAAAAACATTAATAATGTAAAATATTTTTATTCACTTTACAATGTAATTTATTCCTGACATGGAAATGACATGATGTGGAATTTTCAGCCGCCATTACTCCAGTCTTCAGCGTCACATGATCCCTTTAGAATCATTCTGATATGCTGATTTGTTATTCAGGAAAAATTTCTTAATATGTTGAAAACAGTTGTGCTGCTTAACATTTGTTTTCAGGATTCCTTGAATAGATTTTGTAAAAAATCATCCTAAATAAAATTTAACATTTATTTTTAAAAAGTTACCCCAAACTTTATTGCATATACTTTTGTTCAAATGAAACTTTAGGGTACAGGCAGCTGGGACTCTGTGACATGACTGATGTGCAGCAGTCTGTTGCCGTGTGGTGTGTAAAACTGTAACTCTCACAGAAGAGTCTGTGTTTATCTATGGGATTACTGAAGAATTTGATTTGGACTCTATTGAAATATTAAGATTATCAGTCTAGCCAATGATTCAACATTAGCTACTATGTTTTTACTGTCTGTATCTCCCTTTCTGTCTCTTAATTAAAACTTTTAAACCCCTCAGTCAACTGTGATATAGGACACATACTGAAGTATAATGCTCTTTTAATGGCAAGCAAAACAACTACAGACATGAACAAGGCAGTGCAAGAATATTCTGTCAAATCCTGGGCGTTTATGCATGTAATGTCTAATAGTTTTGGGTGAAAGAGGGTTTTAATAGAATCCTATCACACGCTAGTCACACCTTGCAACAAATCTGGGACTCAAAAATGTCAGTAATCTCCAGTAATTGTGCAGCCATGTCAACTGCCAGCCAGCCTAAATCTGCCAATGAAAATAGGGATTAAGAGGGAGACAGAGTAAGAGAGAGATAAAGAAAGTGAGTGAGAGACAGCAGATGAAAAGCTAGGCTCTACGTCTCTGAAGGGAATAGCTATAAACAGTTTTGTGTTAAACTCATGCACCACGAAAAGCGCTCGAGCGATCACCAGGAAGATCGGATGATATAAGCGCCCTTGACTATGTTTCCCATCACCTCACATCCCACGGTGGGTTTCGGCACCATTAAAACACCTACACCTACATGACAAAGACCAGCTGCTGACGTATTAAAGGCTAGTTTGTGAATGAGTAATGACTGTCCACACAACAGGCTAAATTATACACTGCAAACATTTTGAACTGAGCCCTATTGTACATTAATTCAGCACAGGTGCGGCTTCTCCTCGCGACTGGTGGAGCAGCTTTCGACCACGCGGTAGCCTACTCATACTCACACACACACACACACACACACACCGCGCAACACCTGTCCGACTGTAAGCGATATGGGCACGCACCACATGTCACCGCAGCTCACTTCTACACTAAAACGTTGTTTCCATTCTGAAGGCTCTGATTGAATCAATAGCCCAATTGGAAAACACGTTTTGGAACTTGAACAAGGAAACAAATAGAAAAGAGGGAGAGAGAGAGAGAGAGAGAGAGAGAGAGCCGCAGGCGCCTCCCACACCAAACCCGAATATTCAATCAACTTACTCACTACTGTCAAATTAGCTGCGCTCAGCGAACCCAAACCACGCAATGGACCACGGAGAGAGTCAGCAGAAAAACAATTAAAAATAGCAAAGATTCTGCTGTTCATACTCTTTTCAGGGTGCAATTTTATACCTTTTTTGGGGTTGGGGGGGGGGATCTTATCGTCGACAGAAGTAAAGATAAAATTGTTATTACGTTATAGATTTACACACCACAAATATACCACAAAAAAATGGTAAACAGCTTTAAAACCATTTCTAATTGCTTTAACTAAGAGCGCCAAAATTCGTTTTTATAATTTTCTATTTTGAATAAATGCTTTTCTTTTGAACTTTCTGTTGAAAGGATCCTGGAAAAAAAGCTTTTTAAACTCTGATTATAATATAAATGTATTAAGCACCAAATCACTGTACAGTATATTTACAGTATACACACACGATTGTTTTGAAAAAATATCTGTAATAAAAAAGTAATTAAAAAATAAAATAAAATGTATATAATATGCATACTAAATTAAATAGAATATAAGTTATGATAATAATTAAAATAATATTAATTATATGTATTTATTTGGAATTTAGGCAGTATAGTCAGGCAGTAATTATTATTATTATTTGCATTTATTTGGATCTTAGGTGGTATAATCAATCAGTAATTATTATTATTATTATCATTATTATTATTATTATTTATTTGGCAGTATAGTCAGGCAATTATTATTGCAAATTAAAATAAAAGCCCTGACCACTGTCAGTTTTTTTTTTAAATGTACACTATGTCTTACATAAATGATCTGGTCAAAAAGAGAATGATATATAAGTGAAATGAGCATGCGTGTAGTATAGCAAAAAAAAAAGTAAAAACGCTCAAGGCTGTACAGAATGCAGCGTCAGACATTCTGAGACCTGAAGAACTGAACGAATGGGTGACCTCCACCCCAAGAGCTCAGTGAACCCCTGAACTCTCACCCCAGATTCACCCTTCAGTCTAACCCCAGCCTCTGGCTACAACACACAAAGGAGCGGAGGTGAAGATGAGGGCCTCCCTTCACAAGAGGTTGAATATTAAACTGGGCTGCAATTATCCCCTGAAAAACACTTTTCATGGATGGCTCTAATTCATAAGGTCCTTTGCGAGCACCTACTGGCCATGTTTCACAACATCAGAGAGATAAGGATAGCGGTAGAGCGGTAGGAGATAATCACAAATCAATTACTCCCTCATTGATTACAGATGTGGCTAAATCCCTGAAAACAACCCAGGATGAGCATGAAATTTAAAGCATCGGTACACCACATGGGCTTTTAAAGTGTGTGAAACGTGAAGAGGGGAGAGACAAGAACGTCTGTAGAGTGTTTATGTGTGAGAGAAAGCATTTGTAAGATATTTTTGCTATTTCAGCTCTAATCAGTGTGCATACTTTTACTGATAAACTTAAAGAGATGATAACGTTCCGTTTGTTTTCTTTTGTTTCTTTGCAAATTGACTGTAAGTATTTGAATGTGTGTTGTACTGGTTATAAGTTCATTTTAGAGGAAAATCTTGAATATAAAATGAACCATGTGTGAAGGTAGACATGTGTCAGATATGACAGCAGAAGTGAAGGTGATTATTTTCTACTTCCTATCCTAATCCTAATTGTTAACTCCACACCAGTTCTGCTGAATGGGAACACTGTGCCAACCTTCCCAATGCACATTCAGTTACCGTTCGCAAGTGTGTCCCCCAGCAAGGTATACAGAGTCTATCCTTCCTCTTTAGACCATGACCTGCACACACACACACACACATATACACACCTGGATCCGTGA